ATAGCCCACAGTGTGTAAGGAAATACATTATTTATACTACTCACATTTGCAGAATAGCCCACAGTGTGTAAGGAAATATATTATTTATACTACTCACATTTGCCGAATAGCCCACAGTGTGTAAGGAAATACATTATATATACTACTCACAATTGCCGAATAGANGGGCGAATATGTTAGCTTTCTAAATTGTCATGTGTGGGTGTGTTCAGTCAACCATAAAAGCGCATGCGCTCTTTTCCACGTGTACACCCCTTTCCAAAGCTACGCTAGGCTAAGTAAGGCGTTTTGCAAATCGTTAAGGAAATCAATTTAATGAATATTCTTTGCGTGTTTTTGTTTTAATATAGCACAAAGACGAACCAAACAGCGGTTAAATGACGGTGAAATGAATAGGGGCATCAGAATGCTGCAAGCTAGCATGTCTCAACGTTAGGTTGCAGCAGACCTTAGGGTGTCTCAAAGTGTGGTGGCAAGAATGTGGAAGCGTTTCCAATCTAACGGAAACCTTTCAGACGTCATGCTTGAGGTCGTTCTAGGGTACAGCGCAGCGCCAAGACCGATATTTGCTCAAACAGGCACGGCGTCACAGGTTCCAGACTGCCACAGCTTTAAAAAAATGACCTCCTAAATGCTTCTGGTACCCGGGAGACCACTCAGACAGTTACGAACCGTTTTCATGATGCTGTTTTAAGGTCACGTAGACCAGCAATACGAGTTCCCCTAACTGCCCGCCATATTAGGGACCGATTAGATTGGGCCCAAGCTCACAGCACTTGGACTCTTCAGGAATGGGAACCGGTTCTTTTCTATTAAGTCCAGATTATGTCTCGACTTTACCGACAGGCGCGTTAGAGTATGGAGACAACCTGGCAGAGGTTCCAGGTAGGTTACGTTGTGAAACATGACCGATATGGCGGATGTTCAGTGATGGTGTAGGGAGGCATAGGATTTCGTGGGAAACATGACCTACATCTCTTCCATAATGGTTCCGTTACAGCCCGGATTTACTGCGATCAAATCGTTGATGCCTATGTCAGACCTTACGCTGGCGTTATCGGCCCTGACTTCATCCTTATGGACGATAATGCCAGGCCACATAGAACAAGGTTGACTGAGCAGTATCTACAGCAAGAGACTATTCAACGAATAGGTTGGCCAACCCGCTCGCCGGATCTTAATTTCATCGAGTATGTGTGGGACATACTGCAGACAGCTCTCTCTGCCAGAAATGTTCAACCAAGAACGCTCCAGGGGCTGGGAACAGCTTTGGTAGCTGAGGGGAACGGTATCCCACAAAACCGGATACGTGATATCATTCGGGGCATGCGGAGACGTTGTGAAGCTGTAATCGATGTTCATGGGCGTCACACTCGATACTAAAACAGTTTATGTTTATTTAGGATATGTTTTGTTCAATTTAGGTTGTGATCGAATACCTCGTTGTTACCACTTTTAAGGGTAACCCTTTTTCTGTGGCTCATTTTTCGACTGTAATTATGTTTTTTCAAAGTTTTGCATGCTCATGAATTAAAAGAACAATTAATTTTAAATGAAGTATAAACCAAATAAAATATATGCCCAAAAATAAAAGTTATCCTAAGCAAAGAGTAGTATATATATATATATACAAAGAAAGGGGAAAAGACAAGCCTTATATACCAAATATTTTTGTAAGTTTTAAGCGCTTCACAATATCATATATATGTCTTCGCTAGACTTGCTGCACCATCGTCCGTGCCGCTTAAAACAGCTTTCATCAGAGCCGTTGTTGGCAACCATGCTGGCCCCTCCTGCTCTCACAAAAATGCAAACCATACTTTGTGCCTAACCGTTAAAACTGCTTCACGTATAACTAGGAGATTTAATTTGATGTATCAATTTACAATATGCACTTGATCTATACACTGGTTTAAACAAAACATCTTTTGACTCTTTGTCGATGCCAGCAACACGTTAATGCCTGATCAACTTTGCAAATGCTAGTGAATATTTCGTTTCCGTAATGATACTAAGCTGAAAAAAATCACGACTGAAATCTAAAGGAAGAACGTGCCTGATGAAAACACCGTTATTTCCCTTACCCTTCATAGTGATGTTTTTGTTTGACAATCGATTAAAACCATTCGCAACAGGACATAAAATCGGCCAAATTGGCGCCGACATCCAAGAAGAAGCTAATACAGTTCCTCGAGATTTCTCATTCGACATTTTCCCTATGATCCTATAAATTAATCTGAGGGTCGGTAGTATCCAGCTGTTAGTATGGCACCACGTTACAGTGAAAGCGTCAACTGCCTCTGTACCTCTCCACCAACCCTATAAATTGAGCTTATAACACAGGCTGTTGTAATCTGCAGCAAACCCATCAATTGAACTTACAACACAGGCTGTTGTAATCTGCAGCAAACCCATTAATTGAACTTACAACACAGGCTGTTGTAATCTGCAGTAAACCAATTAATTGAACTTACAACACAGGCTATTGTAATATGCAGCAAACCCATTAATTGAACTACCAAACCCATTAATTGAACTTGCAACAAAGGCTGTTGTAATCTACACCCATTAATTGAACTTACAACACAGGCTGTTGTAATCTGCAGCAAACCTGTCCACATAGTGTAGTCCATAAACTGATCAACCGCCACTGTCTGTACATCTGCTCAAAACCTCGGCGGTTCCATTTGTATATCTTGACATCCACTGTGTACTAATACTAACATCGTTAGTCAGGAGGCACGGTTGCCTTGTAGTAGGAAGCCGAGCTTGTGACCGAAGGACTGCCGGTTCGAGTCAACTCACGGAACTGTAATGTACCTTTGAACAAGATACTTAACTCCGCTTGTTCATGTCTACACAGCTGTATATGATTACGTGGTCGGGCAGTTCTAGAATTGTTGTATGGCTAGCTGTGAGCGCCAAATGGGCAGCACGGGCTGTATGTTCCCCAGGGAGTTGAGAAAGATATTGGCTGGCTGCAAAGGCCCTTTAACCACGTACAATGATTTGTGAACCGCTTTGAGACGACCTACGAACTATGTTGTGATAAAGCAGTATACAAAAAACTCGAATTATTATTTTATTATTATTAAGCTTAGAAAACTTATCAATGTCACATGCAATTGACACAAATGAATATTCCATCGTTAAGGGAGGTAGCAACAGGACATGCCGTCTTGTTGCTACCTCCTTTAGCGATGGAATATTATTTTTAGTTGACCGAAAATATTTAATTGAAGTGCATACCTGGATCTGCTCTTTGTCACGATGGTGTAAATCTTCTTTCGGATAAAAAAAAGTTGTCGATCGATTTGGGTTTGAAACAAAGCTGGAGGGAGGTTATAGAGAGGTCTATGTACAAAGGGAAGCAACTCGCAAAGCAAACGGCGACACCCATCTCGCAAAGGCGCTTAGAGATCTTATCAACATAGCGATTGACGGTGGCCATGTTGTAACGTGTTTATGACGGACAGTAAACTTTAATTATGTGTCCGAATTTCCCCATTGTCCGAATTTCCCCATTGTCCGAATTTCCACATTGTCAGAATTTCCCCATGTTGACCCTATATGTGTTGACATTTCACATTTTAAATAGCACTGAAAAAACACGTTTCATACCTTCAAGCTCCCTGCATGTGGAACTACACGCATGCTCACTTGATTTCTTATCAGAATACAGCTTTTCAAAAGGGACACGCTCGGGTGAAGCACTTCGGTACATATTTATTGAGACTTTCAAACTAGCAAGATAAATACAACAAAATCCTTGCTTCAATCAGGATGTTTTGTTTTTGTTTTTTGTTTTTTTGTAAAATCAAATAACTTAAGTGCAAATGTGTAATACAATATTGATGGGATTGTTATGTATAAGCTATAAGTGTAAACATATCAATGTGCATTTAATAAAAGCGATGACTCAAGTGTGTTAAGTGTATTAAGTATTTTAGGTAAGACAAGTATGCTAACGTCATCGTTTATTAGCTCTAGTCTGCGTATCGATCAAAATTGAACGTGTTGATCCAGAAATAAGAATGCTTGGGCTTAATTTTGTTTTCAATTAAAAAACACAAGCATAATTGCTAATGAAATACAACAGATTGATAATGAGTTAATGTGATAATGGAACGATTTATGACTCATTTGAATATACATGTACATGGGGTGGTCGGGTGACGTAGTAGATAACGCACTTGCCTTTCACCAAGGCGTGACAAGGGATCGGATCACTTGCCTAGCCCTGTGGGTTTTCTCCTGGTACGCATGTTCCCTCCAACATAAAAACGTATATCTGCAATGCAGTTAACATGTACGAAATATGTTATCACTTCTGGTATTGTCCAATCACAAAGGTACTCTTAATTCACTGCAAAGATTTTTAGTTTCAAGTTCAGATGAAGCGACGTCAGAATAAGTGGTTGTTTTGGTGCACTTTTGCAACATAATGTATGATATTTAGATAACTACGGCAAATAGACTTTGTCTTTTTTAAGAACTTGCATTTCCATTGGTTAATGTAAGTGTGAACCACAGAAGCGGCGATATGAAATTAACTATAGCTACATGTATGTTTATGTATAATAACGTTTATGTGGAGGTGTTCAATGCCAGGCTAAGCCTGCCAACAGTTACTGAAATGAAGGTCATAAACACAACTTTAAATCAAATCGAAAGCATGTGTGTACACTGAGGGTCTTAAAGTATTAAAGTAAAAGCCGCATTCCTTGCCGACCAAATGCAGTGGAACAGTATGATAAAGAGAATAAATAAGTAATTAAATAAATGAATGTTTATGATATATATTTTATAATATTAACTGTAGTTTGTATATCATGGTGCAACATCCCGCCTGTGTTTATGATTCATTCAGGCCTCCCTGAATGGGTGACGTTTCCCTCTCTTCCTTTTCGCCTTCATATATAGGCTCGATTTCGGAGAAGCAAATTCAAATTCAAATTCATTTTCCTGCAACAGGGACAATGACTATATACTATTGTAACGTTTGTAAACTAATCATACTAAGGTCACTGTTGTTATACATACATGGATAACTTCCTGGTAGAGAGAACGATACAGTTTAAAAGCACATAGTCGTGGGAGGTCCGTGTTTTCATCATGTTCCTCTTTACCCTGTTGATATCTACAATATTGCAGGTAGCTGTCAGAGGTAAGTGCTTTTAAAACTAACCTTTTGTGATTATAATTTATCGAACTTTGATTAACGATTGAAAAGTTTAAAAATAAGAAAAAACGCAATTTGGCTTCCCTGTGTTATTGTGTAAAGAGAAACATTTGCAGACTGGTTATAACCCCTTAATCAACTAGAAGTAAGATAATTACTATTAAAATGGGATGGTCACTACGCTTTTTAATACAAAATCAAGTTTACGGCGAAGCTGTACATAATACGTCCGTCACAGGTTGCATGAGCCGTTGTTTGCATTATTGAGTAATTTGTACATTAGAGAATTCCGCGCCATATTGGATGAAAAACAAAAAAGTCAGGGATGGCCAAACTTGCCCCGGTCTCCAGTATGTAGATCTGTGGCATTATAGGGAATGTGAAGAGAACAATGTAATGATTACATGTATAGTGTTGGCCTTTATTGTTGAGAATTGTATCGAATTAATATAAGAAGAAACATGCGCATACATTTTTTGTAGCAAGCAAGTATATGTATTTACGTTGTGTGTATGCCGAACTGTTGCTAGTAAGGTTACACGTAAGTGATGAAAGTTATTTATTGAATCAATACTTGTAACCACTGGCATGTATTCCTTTAACTATTAATTGTATCAATAACAAATTAATTGAAATCAAATATATACCATATATATATAAATATACATAGATGTTCCAGCTGTGTGAATTAACTAATAACATACACTCTATTTACAAAAGACAATACTTTTATGAAAAATGAATTGATAGATTTATATAGTGTTTTTTTAATCGGATGTGATTTCATCGTAAACGATTTATTAGTCATCAAGTGACCACTGATTGAATTTTGTATTAGTAATTGGTTGGGTTTCTCGTAGATTTTCTATAACTTGAAGCTGTTCAAGTACGAAATATCCTAGCCCTTCTCTATGCAGTTTCGAAGATAAAAAAGATTTAATAATATATTTGACAAATCTTCAAATACAAATCCTTGGTATCAAAAAAATGTAAATAATTAACAATTTTCATAACATCAATATGTTTCAATTGTTTATAAGACAATTAAGAATGTGAGAATGAGCAGTAGTTTGCATTGTTTAAAAATATGAGATATTTGTGAGTAATTAATGTTGAAGGAGAAATAATTCAACCTACTTGATAGATCAATAATGTATCTTAAGTTTGATTAGTTTCACAACATATTATTCAGGGGGCATAACTCCGTAACTAACAGTCTGATAATGGTGGGTATCTTTTGAAAACTACTCGTGATTTCGATCAGACACTATTTCAGCAAAACCGAATTAATGAGTCAGCAGTCATAATAATATTACAGCCTGATTTAAACATAAATGTTTAGTGGATTATACCTATTTCTTAATAGTTGTGCCCGTTTATTTGGCGTGACATCATCAATAGATCGACAATTCATGACGTCATACAATGTTGTATTGTTACTGTGCACATAAAGAACGAATACAGTGGAAGCGTTAGCGGAAAATGTAACGTCTTCTTTTGTCTTTTAACTCTATTATTATATAATAAAAAAAGGCAAAGCCTCAACAGACCGCTGCTATTGTTGATCTCTGATATTGACTGATGATTCTTGGAAGTATTGAAGCACGTCCGTTTTTGAAGAATTATTTAACTTTCCCAATCAAAAGATCGGATGACAGAACGAGTCCCGCCATGGGGTAAATTTGGCCCATGTTGGAATCAATCTATTTATGAGGTCATATTTTTATAAGTTGCATTTTGATATAAACACATTTTTTTTTCTATTATACAATAGTGATGGGGAACAACTTGTATAAGACCTTTTCCCAATAAGATATTTCAATATAAATATACACTGTACAAGATGGCAACTTAAAATTTGATTAATATCAAGAGGGAGAGAGAAGGGGTGACATATGTTAAGAAAATTAAAGCGAGATCTGGTAGTGATCTTCTCCGACACAGACGGCACTAGTAACACTGTCCACTATTCATAACACTCAGCTTGTCTAAAGTTCATTACTTCCCAGGCCACGGCTGCCTCCTCCTTGTACATTCCATTCCTTTTGGTATAAATGTGTTGCATGGGCCGAACTTTCCCCGGTATGCTGCATGCTGGAATGAAGGGCTACTAAGTTTGTTCAAATAAAAGGCTTTTACTTATATTCAAGGTCGCAGGGGTCGAATAAGTTAAACACCTTTAAGACAACTTCTTCTGAATAACCAAGAGGCATAGGATGATGATTTGGCCAGTAGCATGCTGGGATGAAGGGCTACCAAGTTTGTTCAAATGAATGACCTTCATCCATGTTCAAGGTCACAGTGGTCAAATAATCCAAAATCTTTTAACGACTTTTTCTGAACAATCAATTGGCATTGGTTGATAATATTTGTTCATTAACATGCTGGGATGAAGGACTACCAGGTTTATGCAAATGGATGACATTCGCCCATAGTCAAGGTCACAGTGGTCAGTATATGTTTCAATCTTTAAATGATTAGTTATGTATAACCAAAAGGTCCCGGGTATTGATATTTTGCCAGGCGCATGCTAGGATGGAAGACTATAAACTCTGTTCAATCTAATGTCCTTGTTTGACATTCAAGGTCACAGGCGTCATATGTTTAAATCTTTTAATAGGTTCTCATGAATCAATCACTGCTATTCTGCCTGTAGCTGTAATTTAGTCCACTTTTAAGATTACAAGTGTGAGATCAATACCAGGTGCGCGATTCAGGCCCATTAGGTCTCTTGCGTTAGTGATGGGGAATAATCTATTCTGTTTTAAGCGCTGCAAATACTTCCTGTTTGATGGCGACAGTCGGTCAAGTACCACTTGTATTGTGAGTAGGCGTGTCATGATTCGTCAATTCCTTTTTTCGTATTGCAGAGTTATCTGCTCATGTGAGCAGGTATTGATTGTTACGTCATTTGTTTGTAAGCGCAACGTCATAATTTTTTTGAGAAAACGACGTAATTTTCTCACACAAACTATTGACGTAACAATTAATACCTGCTCACAAGGTCATATCACTCTCCAACACGAAAGGACGGAATAAACAACAAAATATTTGATGTGAACAAGGCATACGTTTGTAATACCATTCTTATCAAAGATTAAATGTTGTATAAATGGAGGGTGTGGCCCATTTGGGGCAGAGGAAGGTGGGCCAAAAGGGAAAATTTAGGTAAATCTTTCAAATCCTTCTCCTTCAGTATGATTGGTGTTATTTCAACCAAATTCTGCCCAGATATTGTTTGACAAGGGGGACTCAGTTTGTTAGCTCACTTGCTCTTTCGAGCAGGTGAGCTTATGTTATGGTGCGGCGTCCGTCGTCCGTCAATCGTCCGTCCGTCGTCGTCCGTCAACTTTTCCTTTAAACGACTTCTTCTGAAGAAAGAACAGACATAGATCTATGATATTTAACTGAAAGTTTCGTTGGTAGGAGCCCGACAACGTTTGAGAGCGAAAATGATATTGACTCACTTTCAAGGTAAAATGTGTCAAACACTTCAAACGACTTCTTCTGAAGGACCTAAAAGTATATAATCTTCAAATTTGGCTTGTGGCTTCCTTATATAGAGCCCAGCAACGTTTGAGAATGACAATGACCTTGACCTACTTTCAAGGTCACAGGGGTCAAATGTGTAAAACACTTCAAACGACTTCTTCTGAAGAACTAAAAGGTACAGAATCTTCATAATTGGCTGGTGGCTTCCTGGGATAGAGCCCGACTAAATTTGAGAATGACAACGACCTTGACCTACTTTCATGGTCACACCTGTCAAATATGTGACACCCTTCAAACAACTTCTTCTGAAGAACCAAAAGGTACAGAATCTTCATATTTGGCTGACGGCTTCCTGGGATGGAGTCTGACAAAGTTTGAGAATGAAAATGACTTTGACACATTGTCAAGGTCACAGTGGTCAAATATGTCAAACGCTTCAAACGACCTCTTCTGAAGAACCAAAATTATAGAATCTTTAATTTTTTTCTGGTGGCTTTCTGGGATAGAGCCTAACAAAGTTTGAGAATGAAAATGACGTTGACCTACTTTCAAGTTCATAGCGGTCAAATTGTGACACGCTTCAAACGACTTCTCCTGAAGAACTAAAAAGTATATAATCTTCATAATTGGCTGGTGGCTTTCTGAGATAGATCCCGACTAAATTTGAGAATAAAAATGACCTCAACCTACTTTCAAGGTCACAGGGGTCAAATGTGTCAAACACTTCAAACGACTTCTTCTTAAGAACTTAAAGGTATATAATCTTTATATTTGGCTGGTAACTTCCTATAAATAAAACAAAATAAAACAACAAGTGCACTGGACTGACCGCTTGGCCTTCCTGCTGTCTTGGATTTCTTCGGGTGCACTGGTGTATATTACAGTAGTCACCGTTAGTAACCTGACGTTAGCAAAAGTCGAGTAGGTAACACCTTTTAGTTGCGCCATCAATAAACAATTATAGTTAGGTCACACACAACACTAGGAAGCAAAACAAGTACATTCAACAAAAAGTTAAAATTATTGTGGACTCAAGCTGAGTTTCAGGGCTTTTATAAACACATGTTCTTTGAATGGTCTTGCATTTGTATCATCGATATTCAATTTGTAAAAAGGTAACACACATAAAAAACAAAGATGCATATGTTTGCTAAATTTTAAACGTATACATTTTAGTTTATTTTCTCTCATTTTTTGTCTATGTACATTCATACATATTCTCAATTCACATTCGGCTTGTCTGATTTAAACTTATCCGCACTGTTTATATATTAAAGAGTAAGTAACATTGCCTTGATTCCCTGATCTTATTTCTATTTTGGAACAATTTGCAAAAACGTGGTCTAAACATTCAATGATAATCTTTCATGTACCTCACCTTAATTTCATATTTCTTTAAACCCAGTGAAATTATTTGTGGTATTCATATCAAGTTTGGATGTATAAAGTTAACGTTTCAACTTTTGGTATACACATTAAACGTTTCTAGTTTT